CTAGTCTGTTCATGATGTAATCATTACTTATCTAGTCTGTTCATGATGTAATCATTACTTATATAGTCTGTTCATGATGTAATCATTACTTATCTAGTCTGTTCATGATTTAACCATTACTTATCTAGTCTGTTCATGATGTAATGATTACTTATCTAGTCTGTTCATGATGTAATAATTACTTATCTAGTTTGTTCATGATGTAATCATTACTTATCTAGTCTGTTCATGATGTAATCATTACTTATCTAGTCTGTTCATGATGTAATCATTACTTATATAGTATGTTCATGATGTAATCACTACTTATCTAGTCTGTTCATGATGTAATCATTACTTTCTAGTCTGTTCATGATGTAATCATTACTTATATAGTATGTTCATGATGTAATGATTACTTATCTAGTCTGTTCACGATGTAATGATTACTTATATAGTCTGTTCATGATGTAATCATTACTTATCTAGTCTGTTCACGATGTAATCATTACTTATCTAGTCTGTTTATGATGTAATCATTACTTATCTAATCTGTTCATGATGTAATCATTACTTATATAGTCAATGATTACATCATGAACATGAACAGACTAGATAAGTGGATGTAATCATTACTTATCTAGTCTGATCATGATGTAATAATTACTTATCTAGTCTGTTCATGATGTAATCATTACTTATCTATTCTGTTCATGATGTAATAATTACTTATCTAGTCTGTTCATGATGTAATCATTACTTATCTAGTCTGTTCATGAAGTAATCATTACTTATCTAGTCTGTTCATGATGTAATCATTACTTATCTAGTCTGTTCATGATGTAATCATTACTTATCTAGTCTGTTCATGATGTAATCATTACTTATCTAGTCTGTTCATGAAGCAATCATTACTTATCTAGTCTGTTCATGATGTAATCATTACTTATCTAGTCTGTTCATGATGTAATCATTCATCTAGTTTCTGCACATATTATTATTAGTTGTTTTTAAAACTACGTTCAAAGAGTTTTCTATGCTTGCCATTCCAAAATGTGTACTGATAGACAAAAGAAAGGTAAGGCGCTCATTGCCAGCTCTTGGGCTTCTCGTATCTGACCGAATATTGGGATCTGACTGTCACTCTTATAGATCACCCGTGAACCCAAAGTGCAGAGCATATTTTGGGTACACTAACAACTGCCTCTTTTTGCTTGAAGCACTATGAAAATATATGCTTAAAATTCAAGCTCAGGTTTATAACCCTAAAATTTAAGTTGAATACCTGCTTCAGCACAAATAGTTTTGCGTTTGACAACAAACAAATCCATGCCCAGTAGTGTCATGTTGAGAGTTCGTTTACGTTTCAAACAAACTTTTTGTGATGAAACATCACTACGTGACTAACGGTGCCTGGCTGTCTTAGCCACTTACGAAAAGACGAACATATGCTGCTTGTCATGGTACAATTGTGAATCTTTCAAATATCAATTCAAAACACAAATCCTGACTAAACAAAATTGTTTGTCTTATCTAAGCCGTATTAGTCATAAACATGATGTTTGTCTTATCGGAAACGTATTAGTCATAAATGTTGTTTGTCTTATCGGAAACGTATTAGTCATAAACATGTTGTTTGTCTTATCGAAGGCGCATTAGTCCTACTTAAAAATGTTGTTTGTCTTATGAAGATGCATTAGTCCTACTTAAAAATGTTGTTTGTCTTATGAAGATGCATTAGTCCTACTTAAAAATGTTGTTTGTCTTATGAAGATGCATTAGTCCTACTTAAAAATGTTGTTTGTCTTATCGAAGACACATTAGTCCTATTTAAAAATGTTGTTTGTCTTATCGAAGATTCATTAGTCCTGATTAATCAATATTGTTTGTGCGGACGTAGGATAATTTAAAGAGTTTCGAACTATTAACAGTCGATATTGAAGAAATATATACACACAAAGAGATATGAATACGCCCCCTCTAGCATTTCAGAAAACCTGTTGAAGTTGCCTTCCAAGAACACGAGATTTTTGAGCAAAAATGTAACACTTTCAAACAAAGAAATTTATCTTTAGAACAAAAAAATGTTTACCTCAACTCTCTGTATTGAGTGGCCTTTGTTTCCACACCTATTCTACTAATGAAAACGGGGCTGGTTCTTTCAAGGCCCTGATGTGGCAATGAGAACAAAGTCATAGGACTATGAATCCCAGGGTGTTAGATTGGCGAACCTTTATTGCAAAAACCATGATCCGCATTTTAGGGCCGTGGGTGCGATATATTAGTGGCGATCAAATCCTACTTTTCTACCAGACAAGAGTAGTTCAAGAGTTGGTGGTGGGTGTTGTTCACTAGGTTCCCTAATGGGACATCGGTAAGTCACGGACTTACAACACTAAAATACGGGGTTCGATTCCCGCAGTGGACTCGGCAAATAGCCCACTATGACTTTAAACCAAACAAAAAACAAAAGTAAGAACGGATTTCATAGATAGCCAGCCCCTGTATAGAATTGTGTTTGTTTGAATTCTGAAACAAACAAACAAAGTAAAGTGTAAAAATAAATAAAAAAAAACGGAGGTTTACGATGCAAAGAATAGAGAAAAACATCACAGCTGCGTAACTTAGGTAACTTCTACGCTACGACGTAGAGAGGATACTTCAGCACACATACGATTCACAGGAACTAAACATTTGATGTGTGCACGAGCTTCGCACACTCACACACAACGTAATTACAGGGAGGGAGATGAATACAGTGGGTAAAAAATAACGTATTCAGTGTAAAAACTAGTAACGAGAAGAACATTGTTGAATTTAAATAACATTTTTCAACAATAACGATCACTTAGACAAGTCGATTTACATGCAAGAAGTGTAAAACTTGTTCAGTAAACATTAAAAATGAAGATAAATACTAGATGGGGTTATTTGTGTTCTATCGTCATTTTATTCGCGCTACGAATTTAAAACTGAATATTTGGTCACATAATTTTATAAATGACCCCGATGAAGTTACGAACAGTGTTTATCCCTAGCGGCCAAACTTGTCAGAACCGGTATAACAAGCGGCTACCTCCACTTATAAATATGACTATTAGAAAAAGGGTTAACGATTAGTGGGAAACACGTAGGAAAATCGTTCCTCAGGGACGCTTGCTACACTACTGGTAGGGTTATAAGTGTTATTAACTAAGCCTTTCCTGGAGTAATTATTCTTGATGTTAATTAGAAAAAATAATTTGTTCTATCAGATAGAGCTAGCTATAAAACGTTGGGAAATAATTACAAACACGACTGTTGAAGCTCAAGCAATTTTAATTTAAACTGGTAATGCTACGAAGATTATACGTCATATACTCGGGTGGTAGTGGTAATGCTAGAATATTGGAGATCATCTGTAACGTACGCTGGCATTACTAAAAAAAAATCAACCATAATGTACACTGGTAATGCTATAAAGATCATTGTAAAACTGACATCCAACACTTGAGATTCAAGCACCACTTTACAGATCTAAATTCCATTGTTGTTCTACACCTGACATCAACTCGGCGATATTATAACAAGTAACGAAATGTACAGGTGATATTAGTTGGACTGGTTATTTAAAATAATATGTTCCTTTTTAAAACCTGCTCGTTACGACATTTCTAAATTGTAGCGTTTCCAAGCTATGCTGGAACTAATCTTACTAAGAAAGAGTTGATGTTTTGTTTGAAAAAAGGCTTAGAATGAAGGATATTAGATGGTCTCCAACTTTGTCATTCTGCTTGGGCCTTGTTTGATTACAGGAAGTCCCTAAAACCAGTTCTTAGTTCAAAACCGATTCCAACGTATCAAACATGAGATCTACTTTTTAAAAAAGAATTATAATGAATAATTAAAAACAACGTTTTATATTTACACAATAAAAACTTTAATGAAGCCGTACGGCTTCCACTTTAAAATATCTCTCTACACGTACATGTTTCATAGATCACGTCGAAACATGTACTTGTAGAGAGATATTTTAAAGTGGAAGCCGTACGGCTTC